TTGCCTTCATGGATAATCTTCAAATTCTGGTTTAAGAAATTTCCCATAGTCTAGTACAATGGTATGCCCTTCTTTTTTTGGCTAATCCGAAATGGATATAGCCTTGCAACTTGGCTAATCCCAAATGGATATGGCCTTGCAACTTGCGAGTACAAAAGAAAGAGAGCTAGCTGCACATTCAATTCAACTGGTATTTGGTGAGTTTGATCACATGGTGGAAATGTGATGATCTTAAAAGCACATCTGTCTTAATTTAAATAATGTCCAAGATGGAGTAAATTTGCAGCTTATTAGACGACCTGTTACTAATCTTATTTTTATCTGGTCTATTAAATGTACCCCATTAATGTTATATGCAGAGAGAGAGAGAGAGTTCAAAGGATGAATCCATGGCATTAGGAATGCGAAAACTCATGTGCACACGGTGAAACAGCTTCAATGCCATAGAAAATCATTTTACCTTCGTCGAGTTTCATGTGCTCCATGCATTTGCCCCACTTATATTATTAGTCCCCTGGAAAAAGAGTGCCATAAAAAGTTGAATGCCTAAACTGGGCTTAAAAGCAGTTGGTTTAATAGCTGACTAATTTGTTATCATGCAGTATATGTTTTCCTGGAATAACTGAAAACATGACTTCGATCCTCTTATGTCTACATCAAGGGAGCACATAGTTTCCTGAAATGAAACTACAATGTCGCTGGTTGATTTAACTGGATTCGAACTCTTTTCTGCCTCTTCAACTGAGGTATGAGAAAATACAACTTGCATGACTGAAAAGGATTAAGATAAGTGTTTTTGCTCCGTAGCCCATATGACATGTCCAAGAGAAGAAACATGACTAAATAAATAATGCCTTTCTTTTTTATCAACTATACTAAAACACTTGCGTTATATCCTCTCAATATCTGTAAGACTAAAAATAATAAATTTGTGGGCTTCACGTAATTGACTGAACTCGCAGCGCAGGTGGTGTTTATCTATCTCTTATTCCTCGCTGTTTTTATTTTATTTATAAACTGTTATCTTGCTGACGGATAAGATAACCGATGGACATGGACATGGGCTTGACTTGAGCTTGTAAAGCAAATCGGTTAAGAAGCCCAGATGAAATTAGCCTTTGCTTCTTCAATATGATCACTTGTTGTGTTGGAATTTGATTTTGCTTTGCTTGGTCATATATTCTAGAATTGATGAGATATTGCTCCATCTTCGAATTTATTTAATTTAATTTGGTGTAGTGTAAAAAAATCTGAATCTGAAGATTTTTGTACGTACAAATAGATACGCGGTGATCTGCTTAAGTTAAAAGTATCAGAGATTCATATTCAAAATCTTATTATTAAATAGGCGAATTAGATGGAAGTAATCATAGAAAACTAAGGAAAAAAAAAAAAAAAAAAAAAAAGGGTTTAAGTACAATGTAGTATTGTACATATATTCAATATTCAATCAAATAAACAGAAGAGTATGTGTAGAGAGTCTAGAACAATCAAAGTAAATCCAAGTGTTTGCAAATGAAACACATAGCAAAATCTAGCGTGCCAATGTATTGTGAAGTCGCCACATATCCCTTTTTGCATGCTCATCCCAAATTCTATTCTGCCACGCATCTCTAACCCCACACCCCCCCATTCCCTTCTTTCTCTCTAACCTATTTAATTAGCTCTTCCTTTGTTCCCTTCTCCCTCAACACCACCACCATTTCCATTTTTATTATTTCTCTCATTTCTACATTCATTTCATTTGATACCTTTTCCTTGTTACTTTGTTTTGCATTTTGATATTTTGAGCTATGACCACCATTTGTGCTGACCAACATCAACACAAACTCCATCATCTTCTTTCCCCCAAAAGTCCTACCAAACCCTTCAAAGATATTGAGGTTCCTCCCAGGAAACTTCTTCTCAACAGCAAGAAACTCTTGCACCATCACCATCATCATCAAGATATCAATAACATGTTTTTCCCTGAAGAACTCAACAGTCTTCATAAGTTCTTGCCTTTCAACAATACTGATGCTGATTCTGATCCTGACTCTGACTCAGATCCTTATGCTTCTGATCATTTTCGCATGTACGAATTCAAGATCCGTCGCTGTACTCGCAGCCGTAGCCATGACTGGACTGACTGTCCTTTTGCTCATCCTGGCGAGAAGGCTCGCCGCCGTGATCCTCGCAGGTTTCATTATTCTGGAACTGTTTGTTCTGAGTTCCGTAGGGGAGGTGGGTGTAGCCGTGGAGATGATTGTGAGTTTGCTCATGGAGTCTTTGAGTGCTGGCTCCATCCATCACGATATAGAACTGAAGCTTGCAAAGACGGCAAGAATTGCAAACGAAAGGTGTGTTTTTTCGCCCACTCTACACGTCAGCTTCGCATTTTGCCTGAGATTTTATCATCTCCCAAGTATAGTCACCCTCTCTGTGGCAATTCTCTGGTGAACAATCATAAGAATAATCATTGTTGCATGTTTTGCCATCATTCTGTCAATTCCTCTCCAACTAGTACTTTGTTGGGTATGTCTCATTTGTCACAGTCACCGTCTCAGTCACCACCATTGTCGCCGGTGAATCACGGATTCTCACCCATTTCTCGGTGCAGTGATCGTTTGATAAAGTTTAGCAGTACTCCTGATGCGGCCATGAGTTACAAAGATGTGCTCAATGAGCTGATGAGTTCATTGGCTGAAATGAATTTCAATGAAGTTTCTTCTCCTTTGTCAGTCCCCGGTGGTAGCAGCATGAATGGTAATATTCCTTGGATTGATGCAAATTCTTTTAATATTGAAGATCAGCAACAGTTTGTTCTTTCTCCTTCAACTCCAAACCCTTCAGGGTCAATGAATCCTTTTGGTTGGGATTGTTCAAACAAATGTTTGGTTGATGATCAGAAGATTAATGACATTAATGGCGGGCAGCTGGGCTGTCCTGATCCTGATCTGGGTTGGGTGAATGAGCTCTTGATGTAGATGAAGAAGATGTGTAAATACGCTGTTTGCACCAGCCGTATATATATATCACTTTATATATATGAGATTTGGTGTATATTATTATTGTTATTATTGGTTTTTCAGTACTTAAATTTCCTTGTTAATGTCTCTTTTTCCAAGTATTCCTGTTGTTTAAAGCTCAGCAGTGGAGCGAGATTTGATATCTTTGTTTCATCTACACACTTTTTTTTTATCATTTTGGTGGTTTGCTTTTAAGTATTGTCTTCTCCCTGTTAAGTGGAGAGCGATTTGATCTTAATTTCATGTACTGACTTGAACTGTAAGCAAGGTGTGATAATGAAGAATCTTTCTGTTTTCTTTTATTTCAGTAAATCTCTGTGAATGTATACAAGTGTCTGGAGAACTACATGTTTAACCTAACAACACAGTTTCTTAAACCCACCCAACCCAGTTGTTGCTTGGCTTGAATTGAAGATCTTGTGGGTGATACGTGGCTTACATGCACAATGGTGACTAGGTTTTTGAGAATTTCAGGGAACAGATTCTGTAGATTTTTTTTTTCTTTTTATTTGGCAGATGCGTATCCCATCCCTCATCCACGGTTAAAACTTTCAAGCGCGTTATTAATTTACCATTTAAATTGACATGGCCATGTATTTCAACAGAAAGATTAATTATTGTACACTGTACATGAAAAAGAAAACAGATTCTTTTATTTCAATTAAAGAGTAAATAGTGACCAAATTTAGTTGAATCTTAATGTAGATATTAAGCAAAAGAAGTCAGATACGATTAATTTTATATGTGTAGATGGATCACAGTGCTGCCAAGGTTAGTTAATTCACCAGATTTGATTTTCTTGGTGGGAAAGAATTAATATGTAGCAGATTACTTAATTAATCAACACTAATAAACCAAGTTTAAAAAAAAAAAAACTGTGTGAGGGAGCAGCTGCCTCTGCCTCTGCCCATACTAATTTTAGGTTCAGATAAGGTTTTTGGGGTCCCCTTCGTGTCTGCCTTATTTCATTCATCCATCTTCTTAATTGATCAATTGGAACAATTCAATGCAATTCCCATTTCCACTTGTGCCCATACTTTATGTACTCTCTTGCTTCACATCCAGATCAAAGTATGGCTACATACCTTTCTCTAACTTGGTACAAATCTTTTCATCCTATTTCTATTTTAATTTGCTTGTTTGGAAATTATCAGAGGGAAAGTGGGAGACTGTGTGTCATTGAAGAAGGCCAGTATGGGTACATCATACAAATAATTAATAGAAGTGGGAAAATATCACCTTCCAAATACAAAGTTGTAGAAATGGTTAAATGTTTGTGAGGGTTTCCAAAAGATGTTACTGTGGGCAGCCATAATGTCTCATTTAAATCACTCTATTATGGTAATAAATAATTAATATCTATTATTATGAAGTTCATAATGAGGTACTCTAGTAAATGAAATGTGTTATTTATCATATAAATATCCACCTAATCCATCTTATTTGGATGAGTTTGACACCACACATTTAAATTTTCATTAAAAGACCGGTTTAATTACTTAAAATAAAATTTTCAAATTAGATTTTTTTTTTCTCCAATTAACCATCTAATTTAAATTATTCAATTAGAATTAGAAATTGGATTAAATCAATTTAAAATTCCTATAAATTTAGTCAGCATTATAATTGAGTTTTGAGTTTTGATAAAAGGCTTCCATTTTTCTCCACCTAAATAAAATTAAATTTCAAGTGATAAAATCACTTATCAATATAAATGTGAAATTTACTAGTCGCAGCTACTATACTAAGTAGCAGAAGTATAACCCACATATACACCCAACCATATACTTTAAAATTACTTTAATTAAATCATTTATATTTATAGGTTTAACATGACGTAAAGATTAAATTGATGCGGTTTATCGTATTTATGTTATACTTTGCCAACAGCTATACAATATATGTTACTGAAGATTAATTACGCTATAAATAATTTGCTAACCAATAGTATTACCTTATTTCAATTTTTATTCATAAATTCATGATAAACAATTTTGAAACGGCAATTATATCCATATGTTATCACTCAGTTTCTTTCAATCGTTGAAATACATCGATCAGAGTAAGTTCCAGCCTTCCAGGTCCACCCCATAAGCTCAGCCTCAGGCTCAGGTAATTAAATTATACCTGTATTTTCACTGTAAAAATAATTTATGGAGTTCTGTGAATGTATAACCTATGAAACAACTAGATACAATGAGGTATCACCAAAAAAATTTTAAAAAAATCCTACAGCTCAAATAGCGACTTATACATTTTCTAGCCATCAAATAAGTAGTGTAGTAAACTCAGTTATCCTTGCAGTTTCTCGAGTAAACAGAAGACAATCTGGACTGCGACGGAAAGAAGTCAAATGGAGTACCTGCCCCGAAAGACCTTCTAGTATTTGGAGAATCAGATAATAGAGGTTCATAAACTGGACTTCTGCTCTTAGGTTGAGTAATTGATAATGGTGAAACTTCTTTCTCTAAAGATCTTGCCTGCGGTTCGATAGTCCCCAGAGACAAAATGGGACCACCCATACGTTCAGCCTGCTGAAGTGTATGGATTTTACTTGGTCTGTAGGTGTAACGGAAATATTTTAAAGCCATGATTGGACCTATTCCTGCCCCAACTATGAGCTGTAATGGAATTACAATTTTAGTCAGTATATAATCCCTTCTACCTAAATAAATGGGGACACCTTCCATAACTTAAATTTCACCTTGTCACTTTTCCTGGTAACATTGATAATACTGAGCATAAGAAACTAAAAGTGAAGTGTATTGATGGGTGAAAACTTACCAACATAGTTAACCAATAAGATGGTTGGCGACACAACCGGAACATAATTGTGTACATCCCAGATGATGGAATAGCACTGAAGATCCAGTTGATGACGTAGAAGGCAGCTAAATTCCCCCATATGGCAAGATGTTGGAACACGGTAAAGGAACTGCATGTGACAATCAAAACTCAGAGACAGTTAGTACAGATTAATCAACGAAGAAAGGATGAGCCATCAAACTCTCCTATCCATATTCCTTACTGTTGAAGTGTATAATTCTATATTAGGATATTAAGATTGTAATCAATATATATTATGAACATAATTTGTAAAATAGCAAGTTAGATTATTCATTTACTAGATTACATTATTTGTTTCCTAAATTAGTTCTTTATTTTCCTATATATTGATATATTATTTTCTGATCATAATACAAGAAATATAAACACACTATTAGTTCTCTCTGATTTTTCACATGGTATCAGAGCTAGGTTGTCAAAAATTTTAAATTTTTTTTTTCCGGCGACGATTAAGTGTCTCTCTCCAGTGGTCAGAACCTCCATCTAACCATACATGTCTCATTGTCTCCATCTCGCTGGCAAAACCTCACAAAGATCAACGTCATCGACCGCCGCATGCGCGCCTCCACGCACAGTGTTTCTTTCCGACAGATCCAACTTCGATCTCCTCTTCCAGCGAGCGTCAGTTCTCACCTTTGGCACCAGCTTGCTCAGAAGATGACAGCGAGCAAAACCCACTAAGGTTCTATTGCCTTCGACGTCAAACTCCGACAGCTTCACCGGATTCCGCCGCTGTCCTCGTCAGATCTTCTGCTCCGATCTGTTTGTTTGCTCCGTGTTACCTCTGGTTCTGGTTTCCGGTCAGATTGTGTAGTTATCATGGTTACTTCCAACTCAAACTCCACTTCCGGTGGTTTTTCTTTCTTGTCTCTCCCACTAATCACCACTGATAAGTTGATTAGGAGTGCGAATTATTCTTCTTAGGTTGCCTCTTTCGAGTTATGGTGTACAGGTCAAGGTCTGGAGGATCACTTGACCACAAAGGTTGTTGACATCACATCAGATAAGTCTTCCTGGATCAAAACTGATGCTTTATTATGTAATCTATTATAGCAATCCATTGACACTAATCTACATCCAATTTACAAAACATACCACACATGTTGTAAGATATGGAGTCAGGGTAAACTATTATATACCAATGATATCTAACGCTTGTATTCCATTGTGTCCAATCTGATTCATCTAAAACAACAGGATATGAGTATATCAGATTTTCTTGGTAAGATGACCTCTCTCAAGGCAGTGTATAATCTTCTCCTACCCGTTGGTAAATCTGCTGCAGAAGATCTAGCACAATGAGATAAATTCTTCATGGTTCTAACCCTTGCTGCTATGAGTTCTGATCTCACTCCTATACGAGATCAGATTTTAGCTAGCGCTACTGTGCCATCTCTTGATGAAGTATTTGCTAGGTTACTTCGGGTTCCATCCCCAAGTATTGTCCCCAGCTCTACCGCTATTGACTCTGCTTCTCAGTCTCAAACTACTTATAAAGGAAAACAAGGAGATTGTGGTTGAAGCGGACGACCCAATTGTAGTTACTGTTATCGTTGGGGGCATACCAGGGAAAAATGCTACAAATTACATGGTCGCCTTACTCGAACCGCTAATGTTGCTCAGGCTGATCTTCGTTCTGACTCTTCTAAAGGACACACCCAACCATCATTAACTCTCACTGGGGTTGATTATGAAGAATAACTCTAGTTTTAGGCAAATAAGCAGTCTTTTTCATCTATTGCCTCCATTGCTCAATCGGATAATTTAGTTGCATGACTTACTTAGTCTTCTTCTCTTGGACCTTGGGTTCTTGACTCGGGTGCCTCTGATCACATTTCTGGTAACCCTCACTTACTTTCTCATTTAACTAATGTTGCATCTTTACCATCCGTTACTTTAGCCAATGGCTCCAAAGTTGTTGTTAAAGCTGTAGGTCATGCCAAACCACTTCCATCCTTAGAATTAGACTATGTTCTCTATATTCCCAATTGTCCATTTAATCTTGTCTCTGTCAGTAAACTTATCCGCTCTTTAAATTGTTTTATATCTTTTGATATTGACTCTATTGTTATACAGGATCGAGGCACGGGACGGATGATTGGCACAAGACATGAGTCATAGCGCCTCTATCATCTACACCTACCATCTATAGAATGCACTGTCACTGAATCTCCAACACTCCATCATAATCGTTTAGGTCATTCCAGTTTAGTAAAGCTTGTAAAGATGCATCTTGGTTTATCTAATTTATCGTCTTTAAATTGTGAGTTATGTCAGCTTGGAAAACATTCTCGTACCACCCTTCCAAAGCGTGTCAATAAATGGGTTGTCCCCTTTTGAGTTAGTTCATTCAGATGTGTGGGGACCTTTATCGTGTGTCATCTGTTCTAGGTTTTCAGTACTTTGTTACCTTTATTGATGATTACTCATGCTGTACTTGGTTATTCCTAATGAAAACTCGTTTCGAGTTATTTTCCATCTTTGAATCTTTTTGTGCAAAAATTAAGACTCAATTTAATTCTATTATTCGAGTATTACGTAGTGATAATGCTTGCGAGTATTTCTCCGATCCCTTTACTAAATTCATCTCTTCTTAGAGAATCCTTCATCAGTCCTCTTGTGCTTATACTCCACAACAAAATAGGGTTGTTGAGCGTAAAAACATGCATCTCATTGAAACTGCCTGTACCCTGCTTTTACATAATAAAGTCCCTTTTCGTTTTTGGGCGGACGCTGTTTTGACTGCCTGTTTCTTAATAAATTGGATGCCCTCTTCTGTCCTCAATGACAAGGTACCTCATTCCATTTTATTTCTAGATCAATCGTTGTATTTTATCCCTCCTCGTGTCTTTGGGTGCACATGCTTTGTCTATGTTTTCCCCATTGGTCAGGACAAACTGGCAGCTAAATCTACTAAGTGTATTTTCTTAAGGTATTCACGTCTTCAGAAATGATATAAATGTTATTCTCTATCAACACATCGCTATTTTCTCTCTGCTGATGTTACGTTTTTTGAGTCGTCTCCATTCTTTTCTTCTTCTATCTTAGATTGTGAGTCAATAACCACGGTCCTTCCTATACCGTCCATTACCAATCTTCCTAAGTCTATCATAGCCCCACAATCTTCTACTACCGAGTCTTCCATTACAAACCATAGTCTTGTTTCATTTACAGGAACTACTCCTGATCCGGCTAGTGTCCCTAAAGCTCCTATAGATGGCAATCCTGCTCTTGATTCCTCTAATGCCACGGTCCTCTCTCCTGATGATCAGTTTCCCATTGCCATTCATAAAGGTATGCGGTCTACTCGCAACCCTCATGCGATATATAATTTTTTAAGTTATCATCGTTTATCTTCATCATATTATGCATTTGTGTCCACACTTTCTTCTGTTTATGTCCTTTCAAATGTTCATGAGGCACTCTCTGATCCCGGATGGCGTCAGACCATGGTTGATGAGATGATTGCTTTGCATCATAATCACACATGGGAGTTAGTTCCATTACCTCCAGGACATTCGACTGTTGGGTGTCGTTGGATTTATACGGTCAAAGTTGGTCTTGATGGTCAGGTTGATTGCTTAAAGACCCGACTAGTTGCCAAGGGCTACACTTAGATAGATGGGATGAATTATTTTGATACTTTTTCCCCAGTTGCTAAGATGTCTGCTGTCCGCTTATTCTTAGCAATGGCTACTATTCAACATTGGCCTCTACATCAATTGGATATTAAGAATGTCTTTCTTCAAGGTGAACTTCAGGAAGATATTTATTTAGAGCAACCTCCTGGGTTTATTGCTCAGGGGGAGTCTGCCTTGGTATGCAAACTTCTTCGTTCTCTATATGGCTTGAAACAGTCTCCTTGTGCTTGGTTTGGATGATTCAACACTGTTATCCAAGAGTTTGGTATGATTCGGTGCGAGTCTGATCATTCTGTCTTTTATAGACATACAGCATCGAGGCAATGTATCTATCTAGTTGTCTATGTTGATGATATTGTCATTACAAGGAGTGATCAAGATGGTATTGAACAATTGAAGAAGCATTTATTCAGATACTTACAAACCAAAAATTTAGAACTTCTTAAATACTTTCTTGGTATAAAAGTTGCTCAGTCCAAATCTAGTATTATTATATCTCAGAGAAAGTATGCACTAGATATTCTTGAAGAAACAGGAATGTAAGATTGCAGACCAATAGACTCTCCTATGGATCCTAATTTAAAACTCTCACCTGGATAGGGGGAGCCGCTGGCTGATCTTGGAAGATATCGAAGACTGGTTGGTAAACTTAATTATTTCACTATCATATGACCTGATATTTCCTTTTCTGTTAGTGTTGTAAGTCAGTTCCTATAGTCTCCATGTGATAGTCATTGAGATGCAATTGTTCTAATTTTAAGGTATATAAAGGGTGCACTAGGCAAAAGCTTGTTATATGAGAACAGGGGTAATTCACATATTGTTGGATATTTTGATGCTGATTGGGCAAGGTCTCTATCTGATAGACGTTCTACTTCGGGTTTTTGTATTCTTATTGGAGGAAACCTAGTGTCTTGGAAAAGTAAGAAGCAAATTGTTATTGCCCGATCAAGCGTAGAAACTGAATATCGTGCAATGACCTTAGCTACTTGTGAGCCCATTTGGTTAAAGCAACTGATCCAAGAGTTGAAATTTGTAGAAGTGTCACAAATGAAGTTACTCTGTGATAATCAAGCTGCTTTCTATATTGCCTCTAATCCAGTATTTCATGAGAGGACTAAGCACATAGAAATTGATTATCATTTTATTCGGGAAAAAGTTCTATCTGGATGTATTACCACTAGTCATGTTAGTTCCAACGACCAGTTAGTAGACATCCTCACTAAATCTCTCAAGGGTTCGCGTATTGATTTTATCTGTAACAAGCTTGGTGCATTCGACTTATATTCTCTAGCTTGAGAGGGAGTGTTGAAGTGTAAAATTCTATATTAGAATATTAAGATTGTAATCAATATATATTAAGAACAAAATCTGTAAAATAGGAAGTTAGATTATTCATTTCCTAGATTAGATTATTTGTTTCCTAGATTAGTTCTTTTTTTTCTTATATATTGATATATTATTTTCTGATCATAACACAAGAAATACAAACACACTATTAGTTCTCTCTGATTTTTCATACCTACAAACATTAATAGAAGCTACTCAAGCCAGTGTCAATAAGGCCTCATTAATTTTTTTTAAAAATCGTTGCCAAACACATATTTATGAGATGCAAGCTTACTTGGTCTCCAATGCCACAACAAAAGCCTGCAACCATATACATCCTGACAGTGCTACCATTGAAACCTCCTCCATTTCGCTTTTTTCATAAGCATAGACGTGTATGCTGATTACAAATACAACAATTGCCTACAATAGCCCCAAGTATTAAATTGAGATACAACAATAAAATAATACAAATAACAACAATCGAATCCACCATCACTCTCATGATCAAGCAAATCAACTCATTAGTTGGGAATTAAGTTGCTTTAGTGTGAACTGAGAGAAGCCCACAACAGGTGGTCATGACTGATGACTTTCCAAACTCATAGAGCTACAGCCATTTACTTCGGCTTCCTAACCGTCCCATTCACAGATATATGAAGAGAGAAACATATCAAAACTGAAAAGATCTCAGAAGTCATGCTACCTAAAAGAGATTTCCAACATCTTTCATTTGTAGAGTAAGTTTGCCATTAAGTTTTGTTCGCCAGGTCCACAAACTATTTTCAACCTTACATCTTGATATTCAATTAGTTTATCATGTTTATTCAAATTAGATAGGACAATTGGATGCTTTTATAATTCAAACCAGTTTCAATGATTTAAAATCAAGTTTCACGTATATAACAGATCTGTAGAAGTTTTAGGTACTGGGTCAAAACCTCAGGAAAATAAAAAAACTGGATCCACAAAGATATTTTGAAATGTGAACTAGAAAGAAAAACCAAATGATAGCACTCACATGGAATAGGGACCGGCCAAACCATCCAGCAAATGTGCTAGGATTAAGAAGCCTGTTTCAATAAAGGTCCTGAGTCAGTAAGATGTATAATAGCTTATACAGCAAGTTCCAAGTTCTACACCCCAAAAACTCAATCTACAAAGAGAATAAACAGCATACCTTCCTGCCTGGCAGTAGAATAAAATTTGAGGATGCTGCATCACAGTTTGTTCACTAAGATCTTTGTCAAGGACACTGACAAGAACAGGAATACTAGTATAGAAGACATTATAAGCCATCAAGCTAACAGAATTGAAAAGACTAGTTCCAGAGACACCTGAAATAAAAGAGAAGCTGAATATGGCCTAATGTCAGTATATCAGAAACAAAGCAACAACCTGATTTCATTAAGGAGAACCAAGATTGAAAAAAAAAAAAAAAAAAAAAGGGCAGCGATATAATGTAACTCACAAGATCTGGATAAAACATATCAAGAGGGATTTATAGAATGAATATTGGGATAAAAATGCTGTACGGTTGTAAGAATACCGCCCGTGAACAAGTATCAATCTTTTTAGAAACCTGAACTCTGCAATTCAGAAAAAAAGACTAATACTAAAACTGGAAATCAGACCAAAATCTACTTTACACCTCTGTTTTAAAACCTGGACCGGACCGGCCGGTTCAACCGGGATCCGGTCTCATGTCCGGTCCGAGCCAATATAAAACCTGGTTATAATAAAAAAACCGTGTTAACCCGCCATTGAACCGAATGAACAGTGCCACCCACCTGGTCCAACCAGCCTGCCAGGTAAACCGGTTCACTTTTTCAAATGAAAAAAAAAAACCCTAACTCTATACTTTTTAAGTTTTTCTATGCAAAACACCAAAGGCAATCACACACAACCGCTCTTTACATCGCAGCCACTTTGAGCCCTCTTAGAAATTGCAACCCAATCTCAATCAACTCCACTCTCTCAAGTTTGAAATCGCAACCACTGTCTCAATCTCAATCTCAATCGATGACGACGACACCTCCCTTGCTCGACGACGATGACGTCTCCCTCCCTCATTGGAAATCGACGACGATAGCACCTCCCTTGCTGGAATCGACGACGATGACACCTCCCTTGCTCGACGACGAAAACGCCTCTCTCCCTCGTTGAAAATCGACGACGACGACGCCTCCCTTGCTCGAAATCAGCGACAACGACGCCTTTCTCCCTCGTTTAAGCTTTGTAAAAGTATTTCCACTGTAAAAAATGCTTAGTGTGATCTGGAAATCGACGACAACTCCCTTTTTCTGGATTTTGCATGTTTCGGCTGAGTTGAGTTTTGCTATCTCAAAAATGCTTGGAAGTTTTGTTAGTTGTATTTGTTTTGAGAAGGGAAATAAGAGTCGGTTAATTAAATAATGGAAAGCTTGCTTGTTGGGTGAAATTTTTGGGCGTTGGTCTGCACTCTGGTGTGGTTGTCATTAATTCTGCCTATGGGTGAAATTTTTGTTAGGTGGAACTGGAAAGAATGGGTGAGAGACAAATGTTTGGCTTGTTCATTAATTCTGAAGTTGACTCCCTTTGTTGGCGGAATTGTAATAACAAGGAAAGTTCTTTTATTTATATATTGTATTTGTATTTTATATGTTTATGGACTCCATGAATTGATGGATATTGAAGGATACAGGACTTGGGTTTCAGATTTAATTAAATTGGTGTTTGGGTTCAATCATCAATGGAAGTAATTGGGTTCAATGGAAGTAATTGGGTCCAATGGTAAACATAACAATAATTATTTAAACATATTGGAAAATAATACAGCCACCGACGGTAATGCACCGAATTTATGCACCGAATGACGTGACAAAATTCTGACCGTTGATTAATTTTAACTTAATATTAATCAACGGTTAGGATTTTACCACATCATTCGGTGCACTACTTTGGTGACTGTAGCATTACTCAAAACATATTATATTAAAGGATATGATGATGTCACCGGTTGGACCGGTTGACCCGTGACCCGGGTAGTAAAACGGGGTTGCCCTCCGGTCGGGGTTTTAAAATAGTGCTATACACCTATAGCAATCTTGTGAATGAACAGGATGAAACAAAGCTTGACAAGCTACAAACTGGAGAACTCCAAGAAATTAATGATTGAAATAAACTATATTCGAAACCTCCCTGCTACTCCAATCAAAATATAGAATTCTCCAGGAGTGGAAAACTTTTATCTTTAAGTCAAAATAATCATCCTGCTGAAAGTAATTACTGGGAAGCTCGAGTGTTTTCAAAAAAGGAAATCAGAAGTTTGATTTTTTTTTATAGGTAAAATTATCATTTTTTTCAAAACAATATCTGACGATGAAAACACATTTGTTATTATATTTCTATGATAAATATGAAACACAGTAAAAAAGTAGAGAATGAAAACACAGAAAACATCATTGTCTTTTCACCATTTGTATGTTTTCTTTCATAGAAAACGAAGCTGGTAACTGAACAAGTATTGCACATTTAAAAGTAAAGTAGAGAATGGAAATCGAAAAACAAACAGACAACCAAAAGAAAATTCTCTTGTTTCTAAGAGGCTACAAAATAACCTTCATGAAGTCCAAAATAAAGAGCCAATAATTGAGAAACCTCACTTGACTAATGTTATACAAGAACCCTATGTTTCCAAATCAATCGATTCAATACAAAATTACCTAATTCGAATTTAACTCAACACAAGCATAAATTTCCAATTTTCTTTTTATTTTTTGCTTTCTCTCATTTTACTCCTAATTAAATTAGAAGAATATCACTAATATTTACAAGCCATAACATTTTATAAAATAAAGCAAATAGAATTCAAATAATTAAAAACCTTAGGGTTTGTGATGTGCGCGTTCTTGCGGATCTCAGAGGCGATGGTGGAGCGGAGCTGCGACTGGTAACGACTTCGTCGAGATTATAGATTTCTATTATTGAAGGTATGATCTGCACGCCGTCCTGAAGAAGTCAAACACGCGGCTAGAGCTTCCTCCAGGCTCGCTGAGTTTGGTGGCACCTTCAATGCTTGGCTGCGAACGCCATTTCGAGTTCAACTCTACTCAACTCACTGAGTTATTGACCCGCTCTGTGTTTTGGTCTTGGATTGAGAGAGGCTGTTATTGTGATATGAGGTGGCAAAATGTAAAAATGAAAAGTTGGAAGTGTTGTGTGGGGAGACGACGAGTAGAACGGCGTCGTTTGGGGCGAGATGTGTGGATAGGTAATTTGATAATTTCATTGACATATTAATTATTGGTTTTAAAAATTATTAGTACCGAAAATTCGAGTTCTAATTAACTTAAAAAAAAAGTTCCCCATTTTTTTATACAATTTTAATGTTCAAAACCATAATAATAGAACAGTGATAAGGAATTCAATTAGATAAAATGATATCTTTTTATCAATTCTTATAAAAAAATATTTGATAACTTCGATGTGACCGTTTACAATTGATTAGTTGTCTAATAGATTTTATTTTTGAGATTTTAAAGAAAAAACATTACTCCTCTTATCATGTCAAATAATAATCATTATTTCATATTATAAAGTAAATTGTGATTTACTAAAAATTACCATTTATTTACTTCCTTATTACTTGATGAGCAATTACTATTGATTGGCTAATAGTTAAAGACGAGTGCTCTAGATTTTGATACACCGATAAATTTTGATTACCAAAAAGATTTATTTCTCAATATAATTAAAAAAAAGACTAAAAAAATGATTTTTATTTTATATTTTTATATGTGCCCTAATGCTCATTTGGATGAATCTCTGTTAAAGAAAAATAGTAAAAATTATAATAATATTACACGTTCAAAGCAATGTAAGCGACAAATTAAAAATATAGGTTGACACGTCTGCTAAGATAAAAATGTTAAAACAATAAATGTTTAAAAAACAAAAAAAAAAGGGTCCAAAAATACACTTCACAATTCACAAACCAATATAATATTAATATTTCTTCAACAATTTGAAATAAATCATATCCAAATATGTTTCAAAGAAGAAGAAAATTCTGTGTGTACCTATGCAATCAAAATAAGCTAAATAAATTTGCATTAGATGCCAAATTCACAAGCAACTTACAAAGTAAAATATATGATTAGATATCCCGTTGTCATAAAAAAAAAAAAAAAAAAATTCACTTCTTCATAATGTATATGTTTTGCTAAAAAAAGCAGAACAACTATGGCAGATGTCATCAATGGACTTCAAGAATTAATTCTAACTCAGCTCATACTAGTTACAGAATATATGTTATTAGTTGATCCTCATTAGTATTTTCTTGATTTCACCTTTTACATTTCTCCACACTCTGCGATAATGCATGCCAGTTTTGGACGGTTGTTGGGTCCGGTAGCAACATTCTCAATCTTCCTGACGACCAAAAGACCGTCTCCAAGCACTCTCTGCATGAAAGTTATCAAACAAAATCAACATTTTAAAGGCAAGATGTAATGGAAGGCTAAAGAAAAGGGCAGATTTACTAATGGGAATTCGGAACAAGACTGTAAATTAGGTTGTCAATCCGGACAAAGGCTATGGCTGAACAACTCAACACAGCCAAAAATAGGCAACTATTTACACCATTTGTATAAAAGGTCGAAAGAACCAAGCATATACATATTTTAAAATTTAAGTTACAACTATGATCCAATTCGACACAACACAAGCTAAGAAACACTTTGGTCTTTTTGGTTTGAGAGGTCAGCTCTTGCAAGTTTTCATTACTTTCTAGGTTTATGTTCGGTTTTCTGAATCAGCTTATAAAAGGTAGTCATCTATTAATTTGTATAAGTGAGACATAGTAAATTTTTCAAACTTATTACATGCTTCTACATGTAATTACCCCAAAATCCGTCAATGTACGTCAGGTTTGAACCTAAAGACTACAGCTGTATTCTAAAATTTTATTAATTCGGTAATACGTGAGATTTAATATCCTAGGTAGATGATGTTAAGAGGATTTGGATCTCTAACAAGTTAAAAATAACTATTAATTCCATTGTCAACATAAAATATGTTGCCCAACCCTAGAACATATAAAATAAAAAAGACCATAAAAGTTATATATAAATAACTGTTAGATGTTAGATACAGTGATGAGTGATGTATAAAACAAAACAAATATCTGTAGGACATTAAAAAAGAAAAAGATTTGAGAACATACCCCAAATACAACATGCTTACTGTCAAGCCAGTCACATTTTGCACAAGTGATAAAGAACTGCAATTAAAGAAAGCAATGATCAATGCTTTAAGATTATTATGAGACAAAAGAAATTTGAAAAAATCTTTACAAAATATCCTTCCAGTAACCATCTAACTCTCAAGTTTTGGAGAAAAATTAGAATAAATTCATACACAAATTTTATGCTTAAAACTTTTTGGGTAAGAGCCTATCCACATACAGAACAGAAAGAGAAAAAGGTGTATTGCAGTGCCCTGGAATAAGGTACACCAAATGCAACTTTGCAAATATAATTCAAAGTAAACTACACTTGAACAGAGAAAAATATTGCAGAGCTATTCTGTCATGCCCACCACAATATCAGTTTGCTCAGTTACATAAAAATGCAATCTACCAGAAACATGTACCTAACAGCCTAAAATCTGGAGACTTGGTACAACCAAATTGCAACATATTTGATCCGGCCATACTTGTCTGTGTGTGCCCACAGCCCATGTGCAAGCACAAGTGCACGTGAGCATGAAAAAAGAAAGGGGAAGGAAGGAGTGAGAGCAAGAAGGTTGATCAAGTACCTGACACCCATTAGTATTTGGTCCACTATTTGCCTGAAACATGAGCATAAAATACACTTTCAGAGTTGGAAGTAGGATGCCATCATTAAACTCGAAACATTCACAAAGAATTCAGCAGAAAAAAGATGAGGTTCTCTATGCAAATTAAGGCATTCAAAGAGGTTGACAAGGGATATTCCAACCAAACCAATATGCTTGAAGCTACCATCTCTAATTTCTTGTTCAGTTCTCACGTGCAAACATTAGATTTTATCCTAAGGGGATAGGTACATTAAACCTTACATGTTAGAAAGTTAACATCATTTTTACAGTATACTTCCTTCAGAAATTTTTTTCACTGAGTGATTCCCAATTTTAAAGAGTTCAATTTCATTAACTAACCTTAAGGTTTGACCTAATTATAGCCAGATACCTTTGCTTAGAAAATTGACAGAAACAGGGTAAGTTTTCAATAAATTTAAGAAACGTCAGAGCAGATACAGATGAATTTTAAAGAAAGTATATAATGATTTTCAAGAACTAAGAGAAGACTTCTTATGAACTGTGACTATGAGGGTTTACTTGCAGTTTTAACTAAACCTCAAGGAAGGTCACCTAAATAATTCTCACTAAAGGAATACCGTAAGTTTCATTCAATTGTTCAGAGCTTTGCTCTAATTACAGACAGGGCACCCGAGTTTGGGTAATAGGAAAGCATCATCCCTGATGTTTCCATACTTATTGTCTGCATTCTATCTTTCCCAATGATTGTTAATGGTAAAGTGTAGGACTTGTGTAGCATGTCACCAGCAGAACAAAATTTAATTATTGGAGAAGGTAAGATATACCATTGATAATAGACCAGGACCAGTGTGTTTGGCAATGAAATTCTCATCCTCAAATTTATGTCCATAGATCGAAGTACATCCACTACCATCACCCTGCAAAACAAAATTTAATTGGTAATTTAGCCAAAATAACAATAGTATACAAGGTTCAGGACAACTTATCATAAAAATTATATGACCAGAGATGGAAGTTTTCATAGATTGAATAAAGCAGCACAAGTTTCTCCGCTTTGCATTTCCAGAAATAAACAATTCACCCTTTCATTATTTACCAAGAAACGCATCCGCTCTCCATTTCTATTTAGAAGTCTCTATCATTCAGTAAGAACAGTAAAATAAGCCACAGTAAACCCTCTAAACCAAAAAAAAAAAAAAAAAAAATTTGTTTAAAAGGTTATAACTAAAAGAAATATCAAGTTCTTTAAGTTTCTTAATAGCAATTGTAAATTAAAATTTCTAGAAATGCACATGATTGTCGGAGTAAAATTTGCGAAGGAAATTTAAAGAGAATTTACAAATCAAAAGGTTAGAATATGTAATCTGGATGGAAGGAAAAAGATGAGCTAGTGAACTAGAAAACCTTGAGTAACTATTAATTTTTGTATATTATAGTTATTAAATAAATAATGCTTAAAAAAGTTGGTTTTTCAAATTATATCAGAGTTTTAAACTGTTAAATTTTATAATTAGAGGGTTAATTCTACTAAGGGCCACAAGAACATAGCATAAGAGAAATGCAGTTACAAATTTGCTCCATTTTCCTTTCTCAAAATGGTATGTCAAACCTTTACTCTACTTCAAAGAAAAAGGAAACGTGAATGTCCTTCCAATCACCAGGATATGCATCTTACAGTATACTAAGGAAAGAAACAAGACCCGAAACAATCTTAAACTAAGAATCTGATTCTTTTATTCATGGATTAACATCATTCATAGAGTAACTAAAATGATAGAACATAAACAAACTTAAATGCAGGAATTGAAGGAACAAACCTTGACAAAATCACCCGCTTGAATCATAAAATCCTTGATCACTCTATGGAACTGGCATCCCTTGTAACCAACAGGCAATCCCGCTTTTCTGTGCTTTCAAACCAACAGATGAGTAGACAAGCAGTGATTACTCAATCAAAAAAGTAGCCACATATGATACCACATAAAATAGCATTCACCAACAGATAGCAGATAACGAGTGAATACTCACTCAAAAAGTAGTATTTCATGATACCAAATACAATAACATTCACCAACTACTATCACATACAATCTAATGTAGAGCTATTCACAGGTCTGGGGTCATCAGCCAGAATTTATATATAAGCACATACAATTCCATCACTTTAAAATTCATTTTCACACTTTTGCCCCTTCATTTCTTGAACTACACAATTTAGCTCCCAAAGTGAAATTAATAAGCCAACTAGCACATATCACCATACCAACAAAGATTAAGATAACAACACGAATTTATTCAAGAAAGAGAGAGAGAGAAAAAAAAAAAAAACTTAGTAGACATCACTAACAGCAACAATGACCTCATAACCGTAAACGGTAACATTACAGGATATGAAGACTTGTTATATGTAAGAGGCAACTAAAGAGCGCAATAGCCAGATACCTGAACTCACCGGTGCATAATTGCCTGCCAAAGAAGAAAAAAGAAGCGAACTTGAACAAGTGTTGTTGGAATTGATATATGCAGAAGAAAATTTAGGATAAGAAAGGAAGAAAAGTGAAGTGACCTGAAATTTTCGGCGGTTTTAGAGGCGATGTCGGCGAAGAGTTCCATTTTTATACGACCGGCAGGAATTGTACCAATAGTAATATCGAAGAAGACGATTGGATTCTTCGGGTTTGGAGGCCGTACGTGCCACTCCACACCTCCGCCGTTGCCGCCTGACGCCATCGATAGCTTTCACTTTCACTTTCTACAAGCTTCGTTGTGAGGTTTTCTTTTAAATTTTAGTGGGGTTGGGGTTTGGGATTTACTTTGGGAAAACACGTGCTTGCTGCTGATTGGTTTTCTTTAATATATATGGGGATATTTGCACTAACGGAGTGCTTTTCACTACCACCCCTGTATTTTCAAATATTTTGTCAGATGCAGACTTTGATCTATTTATTAAAACACCACCTCAATGTATTTAAAAACAACAATCCTAACTAGAGCTGGGCATTTGGGACCGGGCCCAAAAGCCCAACTCCAAAAATCGGTCTTAGGACTGGTCCTTGAGAGGATCGGACCTGGGACCAGGCCTAAGGAGGAGGGCTCGGGCCCTCCACTGGGCCCTCTTCCAAGTCCCAAGCCTGGCCCAAATTTTTTTGTATTTTTTCAATATAGTTCCCTGCCAAATTACATAAAACTCCCTGTTAATTTTAAAATAAATATAAATTACGAGGGCTAAAATGAGATTTTATAAAATTTATAAAAAAATAATTCTTCCACAGTCTAAAAAATTTATAAATTTTACCCCTAAAAAATACTAAAAACCCCCTATAAAATTTTATTTTACCCCCAAAATATAAAAAAAATTGAGGGGGAAAAAAAAAATTATCCAAGTCCCATGGGACCAGTCCTGACCAGGCCTATGGCCTGGTCCGGGTCCTGGTTTTTCTCATGGGCCTGGGACCGATCTCAGGCCCATGAGTGACTGGTCCCATTTGGGACCAGTCCCAAACGGGCCCAGGCCTAGGCCCGCAAGGGACCGGTCCCTGCCCACCTCTAGTCTTAACATTCCTAAATCCTAACGCACACTTTAAAGCCATTACGAATAATACTTTTGATATACTTTATTTATAAACACACTTTTTAATATATTGATATGATAAGGTTCGTGCGTATTTATAACCTGATCATGTATCTTCAGGGCACATGTTTAAGACAACTCTTAAAGTTATTCAAAAATCAATCTTAAAACTGATATTGTTTCATTTTCTTTAGGGGGCATTTGATCGGGGGTATATAAGATAATAGAGGTAATCTTCGTTTATTTTATAAGATTCTGGTGTTTGGTTTGCAAGTAATAAAATATTACGAGAATATTTTGATGTAAATAGTATTTACTGTTGATAATGTGGGCGGTAATCCGATACCCTCCCCCACCCCTGGGATTAAAACATTACCAAGGTAATATGATTTTTCTACCCAATTTACCCTTAATTAAAAACCATTTCGAATACAATTGCTCTTAAATGTCTACCAAATAACAATTACCCAACCACCCTACATTTGAGAAATTAGCTAAAACACCCTAGCCACAAAAAAGTTTAAAAGTTAACAAAATATCCCCTGTCACCCAAGACCACTACCGGCTGTCGGCGTCAGTCGTCATAATGGTGTACGACCGATGGGATCTGGTCGGTCGTTTACCGGTAAGGCCTTTTCCAACTATGGATCATAGATCCATAGCCAGAAACAGCTAGATTTGGCATTTCAATGCTATTTCACGGCTAAAGATGTGACCATAAAACGACCACAAATTTGGCTGTGAAATGGCACGGCCAAAGATCTGGCCTTTTCACAGCCACATCCGTGGTCGTGAGATGGCCATAGATCTGGCCGTTTTCTAGCTATGGATTTGTGATCCATGGCCATTTCTAGCTTTGTTGGCACATGATGCGTTGAAATTACAACATGCAATGTGTAGCAAGTGCACTAGTCGTAAAAAAGTAATAAAGTGATAAGTAGAGTATCGTTCCCATGAGGATTGCTTGTTAAACACTGATTTTCCTAGTTGTTTATCAAGTTTGAGAAACCGAAATATGTTTGGATTTGCGGGAGAAAATCAAGCTAAAGTTAAAACAAAATTTACTACGCACTTTAAAATCTAAATAATGCAAACAATATTAATTCAAGAAAAATATCAATTAAGACAAAGCGGTTAGGGTTTTGACTTCACTAGGATTTCATAAATTAATCTACGAATTCTGTTACTTCTACACTCACATGCACGAATTATAAATCGGACACCTTAATGTGTAAAACATACATTCTCAGGCTATGTTTCCCTACTTATCTCTATTAAGCTTCCGCACCCAACAAATTGAAGGTTAATAGTTCCAGTCCGTTAATCTAAATGGAATCCTAATTTGATTACATTGATTCTCAAACCTATGTCTAGCGTTCAATAAAACAATGGCAATTACCCTAAGAAGCTAATACATGATTTACTTCTCAGTCTCATCATGCTCAACAAATAATTTCAATAAAAACAAGAGTAATTACACAATCCATGCAATAGAATGTAAAAGCAACATCAATCTATTGATTAAACATTAAAATCCCAATTACATCAAAACCCTAAACCAAAAGTGAGTTAGTTCATACTAAAATTAAAACAAATCAAAATAAAAGCTGTAAGCAAGGCATTCAACATGTTGGAATAATGAAAAGAGAGTGAATCTTCCCTATTTGATGAACCCAAAGAGTTTCAATCTCCAATCTTCTCTTCTTCTCCCAAAAACAAAGTCGAACCCCTCTAAAATGACTAAGTCCCCTTTATATAGTCGGTCCAAAAAAACCTAAGACTCTTGTATAAAATGAAAACGCACAGTTTTAATAACTGAAATTTGCAGACTTCGCCGCGGCGAAGAATAGATTTCGCCGTGGCATCGAGTTGGCTTCCAATTCACTATTTGACCTGAGAGTTTATCGCTGCGGCGAAGAAAGAACTACGCCGCGGTGAACTTTTCTGAACTATTATGAAATTACAAAATTGGCCTCCGCTTGCTTCCTTGCTCGAATCTTCAATCTTTGGTGATTTCTAATAGGAATAAGCTTCATAGTACTTCAAATCTGCTTAAGAACTTCCCCGAATCCTGAGATTCGCTTGCTTTTGGGTCTAAAAACTTAATTCCGCTCAGTATTTACTCTAATTGCACGTTTTTGCCTGAAACATAAAATATATAAAATTAAGTTGCAATTCAGGCATAAACGAAAGAAGAAGTATCCAAAATTCGACCAAAAAGCCTAGATATAACAGTATAATCTTAGGATTATCAAATACCCCCAAACTTAAGACATGCTCGTCCTCGAGCATCAGGTACAAAATTCGACTAAAAGAGAACAACTAACAAACAGAAAAGAATAACAAAATTGAAAATGAAATGGGAGAAATTAGAATCAAAATCAAACATAAAGAACTGCCTAGAATTTATACAAGTCTAAAAAATTGTTGAAACATTATTACTGAAAAATGCTTAACACTCCAAGAAGTTAAAAGTTGATTGACTATATTTCTCTATCGATGGCCTCCTGAGTAGGTAATCCCCACTTCAGTCCACCTTCCAACTTCCCAGATTATTTTATGCAGAAATGTAAAGTTTATCAAATGGTGGTAGACTCCATAAGCCTAAGTATTGAACTACTGTCAACTAATGCAGGCTATACATCACTAAGGATCAAAAGGTCTTTACAGGCTTGTAACGTTAGGCTCGGTTAGTGGGCTCCAAAGAAAAGATTAAGATAAACAAAGTAAGAGAACTCAGTTTTCTTCATTCAAACACTACGAGCTACATCAATTTCCACTTTCTTTCTCAACCACCAATCAAAGTGTCAACTATTTTATAACCCTCAACAAGTGTAATTCTTATTTTTGATTCTGAAATGAAACTCTCAAATTTCTACTTCTTTTTATCTTTATTTCGTTTTTTTTTGTTTTGTTTTGTTTTGTTTTTTTGTTTTAGAAAAACAACATCAATTTATTGAGGTCAATTACCCCTTCTTCTTGCCAATCTTGCGACCCCCAAACTTATTATTTTGGTTCGTCAAAATCTCACACAACTCTCCAGGCTCTTTTGTGTCTGCATTAGGTTCAAAATTCTCTTAAAGGTTGTGAAACATGTTTAGGGTGAAATGTTTGGGCATTTTTGGTTGCACAGGAAGGATAGGACAGTGATAATCTTATAAGGCTCAAATGGGTGACTAGGGAAAAATTTATTCATGGCTAGCTGGAAAGGCTCAAACCTTCTGAAGAATTACCTAAATCATTTCCTCAATAATGTCTATTCCTAGAATTTCGCCTCAAACACTTTTCAAGTAGGTTCTAGAGTCCACCAACATTATCAAGACTTCACCTAACCACATAAAATGTTTCTAAGCATGCTGAAATAATGAAAATGGTGGTTGAACCACTCAGCAAACCTCTAGAAAAGAAAAATTAATCAACCACCCTAAACTTGAAGCAATGCTTAACATTTTCCATCAATAAAATCTCAACAATCCTGCTCTCATCATAGACTTATGCAATTCATCATTGGCAACAACAATACAAAACAAACTAAACACAAAACAAAATTTCAAAATTTCCTACCCCTAAACTTAAAATGACATTGTCCCCAATGTCACATCATGCAGATCTCAGGAATAGAAAAACGTAATTAAAAAGGGTACGAGATAGTTCCGTGATTAATCTGTGAAGGCTGATTTTCGTTCAACATCATGCATACCCATTCCTTGGCTTCCTCATCATCATCATCTGTAAAACAAATGAAATTCTATGGTGCCCACTGTGTTAGAAATTTCCACGGAATAATATGAAAAAATTACAACCTAATCTCACCCTTACAAACTAAACTAGAAAATTCAAACAACAATAATTAACAATCTACAAAGGAAAATTGGTTCCAATGTACAAAACAAAAATAAAAACAAATGAAAACAGAAAATACAAAAACAAGTGTTTCAGGTTTCATTCGTCGTCCTCCTCTTCTCCTTCGACGTCATCATCTTCTTCCATGGCATCACCTTCTTCATCGTCTTGCCAATCTTGCCATTGGAAGTTTGAAACATCAATGCCCAGATTGGTGTAGTAGTTGTATTGCATCTCGTACAACATTCGGGTTCGCCTTGCCATCCAATCTTGACTTCGTTCCATCTTGTTCACCTTGTCCAAAATTTGTTGCAACAACTCCTTTATCG